GGTCCACAGCCCTGTCCTGTATTTTGTCTAGAGACGGGCTCACCGAGTCGCTTAACGACTCGCTTTTGCTGAAGCTGGCTTTGAACTCGACATCCTCCTGCCACCGTGCCTGGCAACCATTTAATTTTGAAAAAAGACTTATTATTATGAAGTATTTTCAGACTTATAAAAAATAAAATTGCAAGAGTGGTGCGGAGAATTCTTGTAGCCTTCATTTGAATTCACCTGTTGACATTTTGCCACATTTGCTTTACCATTCTCTCCTCTCCTCTATGCCTCCTCACGTGCACATTTTCCCGCAGGAGCTATTTGGGAGTAATTTGATTGTATCATGTTCCTTTGCCCCTAAATAAATTTTTTCTTCCTGTGCATGAGGGCACTTTTTTAAAAAACCCATATAGTATTTTCAGAAAACTTAGCATTTCTACAATAATACTGTGTAATCTGTACTTCATATTCAAATTTTACTTTGCCAGTTCTGTTCGTGGCAGAAGTTTTTCTCCCCTGGTACAGAGCCAGTCTAAGAATGAACATGGCATTTGGTTGTTTCTGTTACCTTTCACAGGGAACAGGTTCCCAGTTTTTGCTTTTCTTAACATTGATGCTTTTGAAAAGACCATTGCTTATTAGAATGTCCCACAATTTTGGATGTGTCTGATGTATCCCTCCTGGTTAGATTCCCATTATACATTCCCAGCAGGAATAGGACATAACTGATGTGTGGGCTGCTTAGATGAATCAAGGGGTACATTATGGTGGTTTGTCCCGTTGATGATGTTAAGTTGAATCATTTGGTTAGGATGGTGTCTTCTAGATTTCTCCACTTTAACCTTTATAATTTTTACCTTTATAATTAAACATAATTTGTGGGGAAATATATATGGTTTTTTTTTCTTTTTCTTTTTTGTTGTTTTGGTACTGGAGATTGAACCTTGGGGTGCTTTACCACTGAGCCACATCCCAGCCCTTTTTATTTCTTATTTTGAGACAGTCTCACTAAGTTGCTTATGGCCTCATGAAATTGCTAATGCTGGCCTTGAAATTGTGATTCACCTGAGTCTTCTGAATTACTGGTATGTGCCACTGCGTTTGGCTGTGGGGAAATATTTTAAGACACTAAATTGATTATTAGTATACAAATTAAGCATATCTTTTTTCTTTTTTTTTTAGTATGATTTTTCAAATTTTGATCAGGCTAAATATAAGACAAGATCTATAACTTCCCCAGGTAAGCTAATAAAATATTTTGCATATTTTTAGTTTTTAACAAATTCAGTTTGAGAGACTTTTTTTTTAATATTGTTTGTTTTGTAGTTAGTGCTAGATATCTTGTGATACCAAGATTTATTTTTTTCATTACCTCTGGTAATGAACTAATAGTAACCATAATTGCGGGGAAGGAGGTGGTAAATGTTTAAGGTATCTTTAAAATTCAAATGTTTTGTTTTTAATTTTTTTTTTTAGTATAACAGTATGCCTATCATTGAAGATGTTAAGAATTAATCGGACTATGTTAGAAAAAGAAAACTAATAGCTACTTTTTAGGCATAAACTTTTCTGAGTTGTTAGGATAGTAATTTAATAATCACTGTAGGAGGTATGTATCAAATAAATATACTTGGAAAAAATAATTATACTATGGGATTGAGTTGGTTGTAATAGTCTGAGATGTTAAGTCCGTTTGATGTATTCTAATGTTTCTCAGTTGATTGGGGGGCGGAGTTCTGAAAGATTTATCTGTTGGTAAATTAAGGTATTGAAGTCATCCACTATTATTGTATTGAGGCTGGTTTGAGGCTGGTCTCTCCCTATAAGTCCTGCAGTGTGTTTTATAAAATTGGGTTCTATGACATTGGTACATCTGTATTTACAACGATTATATCATCTTGATGGATTATTCCTTTTATCAGAGTATAGGACCTTCTTTGTCTCTCATGACTGATTTGAGGTCAGTTTTGTTGGATGTAAGCCTGACTACTCTTGCTTGCTTTAGGATTCCATTTGATGGGAATTACATTCTCCATCCTTTCATCTTCAGTTTATGAATGTCTTTGGTAGTGAAGTGGATTTCTTGCAATAGTAACTGAATGGGCCTCACTTTTTAATCCTATCAGCTAGTCTATGTCTTTTTTTTTTAAGATGGACACAATATCTTTATTTATTTTATTTATCTTATGTGGTGCTGAGGATCGAACCCAGTGCCTCACATGTCCAAGGCAAGCGCTGTACCGCTGAGCTGAGCTACAACCCCAGTCCATAGTCTGTCTTTTAATCAGATAATTCACATCATTTACATTAATAGTTATATTGAAACTGTATTGAAAGAAATATACTAGTTTCTTTCATTTGTTTTCTTTGGTTGAAAATTTTGTGTTCATTTCTTTCTTATTTATCTTAAAAGTTTTTGTTGATTTACTGATATAATCATATTTGATTTT